GCACTCTTGAGACAGAACAGCATCAAGCAAGGCCACACCTTTTCATTTTACAAAATTTATTTGCAGGAATGCAAAAACACTTATGCAGCAGTACTTTAAAATGCCATTTTTTATAAAAAATGGTCTGACGGTGATACAGAAATAATTGTGGAGTCAGTCATATTCAAAATCCAGTCAATACTTTAGAGGCAAAAACGAAACTGAAACATCAACAGAATCCCTTTAAAAACCCTGTTTGAGCGCATAAGAGAATTATGGCGCTTTTCCACTGCGTTGAACAGTTGCGTTCGATCCTTCGCTGGCTGTGCTGATTTAAATCTAGCGGCTCTTTTGTGTGTTGTGTCTCAAGTTCAGTGACGCAGGTAGTGACGATTCTCTCCGGCCAATCCGTGATCAGCAGAGTTTACACGTCACGTTTTGGTAACGGTACGGTTCACTTGGAACCCCAACCGAGGTGGTACTAAAAAAAGTACCAGGTACCAGGTACTGTACCCAGTGGAAAACCCCCCAAAAGTGAACCGTACCGAGCCGTACCGTGCCGTACCATGCAGTGGAAAAGCGCCATTAGTTACCGATAACATGCCCAAAATGATGCATATCTTAATAATCCATCACATCAAATGTGATGAAAGGCAGCTATGGTGTGCCCAGTTCAATGACCTCAAACGTCCTGCCTGCCCTGAACACAGCTCTTATTACAGACTGAATGGGTAATGGCTTAATCAGAACCGCTCTCACCAGTCCAGTCTGATTCACAATCAGCGCCAGGGATGGAGATGGAGCAACGCTCAAGTACAGAGATCGATCCCAGCTGATCTCCTGTCAGCCAGACCGGCCTAACTGCCTCCGTCGAGAGAACGAGGAAGCAGCGGCGATCAGAACGATACTCTGGCCTTGCCTTTAAAAACTACGCTGAACTGTGCTTGCCTAGGCGGCATGTAGCTCACAAAAGGGATGGTGTTGGTTTCAAAATTGATCAAGCAGCCATCAACGTGGACCGCATGTTCTTAAAACAAAAAAAGTTTTAAAAGCCCAATTCATTTGGGGCGGGGGTCTGAGAAACGCAGCTAAAGCTTCTCAAAGTAGCTTCTTCCTCAAGTTCAAGCTTTTATAAACAAGTAACATCCTCATGACCCGTCTCGCGAGCTGTAACTACATCCTCGGAGGCAGGCGTCTCGCTCGGCTCAGACTGAAGGAGGCAAGGCTTCTTTAGACTCATCACATGAGTGTCTTTCACATGCCCAGTCTGACTGTTCAGCATTATTACAAAAGGACTATAATACACTAGGTACATTGGCTCTGATGTTGCCCTTGTGCATAAGTTGAATATAAAAAGCCCTGCTTGCATCAAGTCTCCGTATGTACAGTACAGATAGGGCAGTTTCAGCCTCCAGGATGAGGTAGTTAACCAACCCTTTCCAAAAAAACACCCTAAAAAAAGGTTCAGAAAAGAACCATTTTACCTGGAATGCCTGGTCAGTCACACCAGGTTGTAACAACTGAAGAAACAAAAAAAAGGCAAGACAAACACAAGCTTAACATGTTCGTCCCCATGATAAGCTCCAGTTAAAAATGCACAAAAATATACAACAGCATCAAGCTCCTCCAAGCCACTTCAAACATCTACAAAGTGCAAAATACATGTAACGTTAAGGATAAAACTCCTTTGGGCTACTTCGACCTCCAGAAGTAACGGTAAATGGCATTTTCTCTCATGACACAAGGGTTCTGGGACTTTCTTACATAAACTTAAAAATAAAAAATTAAATACAAAAACAAAATAATACACAAAGAAGAGTCCACACACACAGGTCTAATCGTGACTTTGCGTTGATGGCAATCTTGGAGCCAGACAGGGAGAAGATCTGCTTCCGTAAGGCAGGAACCGAGCTGGACCGTGGAACGGACCTTACCATCCCATCCGCTGGCAGCACCTGGCGTGACCCCACTGAGCTAGTCAGCCTTCACTGGGACATGTCAGGACCAGCCTCCACCCCTCTCCCCTGCTAGCCAGGTAACAAAAGGAACACAAATTAGAGGAGCGTTAACAATGAATACAACACAAAAGGAAAAAGAAATCACACAAGGACACAAACGACTGCAAGGAAGATGTCAAAGAGAGACAAAGCAAAATGCATTCACTAGAGACTACCGACGACACCCTATGTTTTGGCATGCACACGTGTAAGGAGCCTGAGAGAAACGAGCACAAGTGGCTCGGATCGAAGCGACAGGATTAGGTGATCTGGAGGGGGTGGGAAAGTTACAGAGATACGAAAGGAGGAAAGCAAAAGACAGTCATGCATGGTAGCTTCCCAGTGGCTCAAATTTGGGACAAACGTGCAAAGAGAGTTAGAGCTTCCAGCGACAAAGACGCCTCGTCTGGACACGCTGTTTAGCGTCAAATTGTGCTTTCTGTGGCTATCATCGAGTTTAGCCTCTGTCCTCGTGGAGTTTCTCTCACAAAACCCCATTGAAGGGGACCTCAGGATAGAAGGGTCCCAAAAATTGCAATGG